CTGGCCTCTGATGGGTGTGATGATGTCATTGTCTGAGGGCAAAGGTTAAGCCCTCACACCTTTGCCCTCAGACTCTGACATCTCATCTGAGATCTGTACTGTTTTACACATTTTTACCCCGAATGACATTTCACCTGACAAGATTTGACAGTGATCGACCAATCAGGACCATCCTCTCTGGTTAATAATTAGTAATCAGTGTATTTGACAACATAAAAGCGTCTCTCACACACACTGTGGCGTCAGTCGTCAGTGGTCAGCATGTCGTTCAGCGGGCGCTATCAGCTGGAGAGTCAGGAGGGCTTCGTGGAGTTCATGAAGGCCGTCGGTGAGTCCATCATTCTGCACTTCTGCAAATATAATGCATTCAAATGAACACTGTAAAAAATTGCATGACAATAAGTTATGAAAACATACGTTTTTACATTGCTTTAACTCACCAAAATATTTTAAGTTATTAAAAGTTCTGCATTCAAATATATTGCAATTTAATGCATTCAAAACTAACATCACAGTCATTAAAGATTTAACAGAATTTTAAGTCGGTTTAATATAATTTAAGTTGAAGTGACTTACAGTAAGAACCCAAGTTGATTGTATCACAGTAAGTGTGTGAGTGTGTGTGAAAGAAAAAAGTCCATTAATAAAAACTATAATAGTATATTAATGATACTCACTGTCTTTTCCCTTTGGTTTAAAATACAATTAATATAAAAAAATAAAAAATAAAATATATTTTTTATTTTATTAACTTTTTATCTTTTGTCAATTTTTTTTATTTTTATTGGTTTATTTAAAAGAGGACAGTGCAATTTCACAAAACGCATGAACAAACATGGTTAAAAAAGCCAGAATTAGCCAAAAGGCCATTTTTCATCTGTAGTCCCCTGGCCAAGATGTAAAAAAGCATTACAATACAAACAAGAAAATACATTTATAGGTCTATAGCAAATTGACTAAAAAATATCTAAATAACACTATAAGATAACATAGGGTACACTATGCCTATTACAATAATAAAATACACAAAAACACATTTACAAAAAGACTATATATTAAATATATAATACAGCTCTTGGTTCGGCTTTTAATGTTGGCAGACATAATTGTTAATAAGCAAAATTTTCAAGTTTTTTGTAAAAGCCTTGTAAGATCAACTTAGATAATTAATGTTGTTCAGATAAAATAATATTTTGAGTTTCTAAGTATTTTATTTTACTGTTATTTACTAAAACTGTCAATTTCAATGAACGCAACCAAAAAACATACTTTTTGAAGTCGAGCCAACAGTAACTGTGATGGATGTGTACGAACTGACGGCGTGGTGTGTTCAGGTCTCCCCGATGATATGATCGAGAAGGGCAAAGACATCAAGAGCACGTCGGAGATCGAGCAGAACGGAGATCACTTCAAGGTCACCGTGACGACCGGACCCAAAGTCCTGACCAACGCCTTCACCATCGGGCAGGAGGCCGACATCGAGACGCTGACCGGAGAGAGAGTGAAGGTGACGGACACACACACACACACACACTCACATACACACAAGCGTGCAAAAAGAGGCAAAGTTTTGTAAATGTGTGTGAGCAGTTTAATAATCCAGATGTGTTTGTAAATGTGTGTGTAGGCTGTCGTGATGAAAGAGGGCAACAAGCTGAAGGTCGTCCTGAACAAAATCACGTCGACCACGGAGCTTGTGGACGGAAACACACTTGTCAACGTGAGTGAGAACATCATGAACGAGCTTGTGTGTGTGTGTGTGTGTGTGTCAAGGAGCTTGTGGAATGAAACACACTCGTCAACGTGAATGAGAACATCATGAACATCATTTGAGCTCACAGAATGGTCACATCTCATGTGTGTGTGTGTGTGTGTGTGTGTGTTTCAGACTCTGACTCTCGGCGGCCTCGTCTACAAGAGGATCAGTAAGCGTGTGGCGTGAACACACACACATGGATCTCCACATGATTTGAGAAAAGACAAATATCATGTTTTTTTTTATTAAACTGTTCTCAAAATCTCACCGTTCATTACTGTCTTTGTGTCCCTTGAACGAGATGATGTGTGTGTGTGGAAAAGCAGACCACAATACTGAAAATTAACTGGGCTCAAACAATAACTTGCTTTTATTCGGTATTGCATGTGGATATATATTCGATTTATCAAAATCTTTTTGTCACAGTTTAAATATTTTTTTAATGCATTATATTTGTTTTTTGTTTAAAATGTTGAATCTTCTGTCTCAACTAGCTAGTAAAGTAGCCCCAAGTAGACCCAAGTGTGTATGTGTGGGCGTGTGTGTGCGTGTGTGTATGTCTGTTACAGTCTGGTTTAGAGATAAAGCCATTCATCGCTGTATAAATAATAATAACGTAAAACAGAGCCGTGAACAAGCAACACTTGAGTCTCGACTGTTTCATGGACACGAACAATGAAAGTCAAACCACAAACATCATCATTTAAACCCGACGAGTCTTTAATTACAAAAAAAAAAATTAATATTCCAAATGACACTCAAAAACAAAGAACAGCCTAAAAAAGTCGCCACACAATCGTCACACAGTCATAATTTAGAAAATGATAAAAACGTACAGACGCACAGGCTCGCGTTTGATTCCTCATCTAATGCACTCTTAGAAGAAACGATTCTGAATATTCACTTCATTTAGTTTTAATTACATCTTTATTTTGATTAAATTGTATGAATGAAGTAGCTCGTAAACATACTTTATCACTAGAAAAAAATTAAAAAACCTATTGAACATGAAAGTATTATCAAACCATTATAGACACTTCTCATTTTTAGCATAAAATTGAGTCAAGTAGAGTTCAATATAGAACCTTTTTACTAAGAGTGCAAGTTATATTATTTAGGGATGCACTGAAATGAACATTTTGGCTGATAACGACAACCGATAATTTTTTATATTTGAAAGCTGATAGCTGATATATTGGCTGATAAATCAAAATTTGAAAGCTGATAACCGACATATCGGCCGATAAATCAAAATTTGAAAGCTGATAACCGACATATCGGCCGATAAATCAAAATTTGAATGCCGATAACCGATATATCGGCCGATAGATCAAAATTTGAAAGCTGATAACCGATATATCGGCCGATAAATCAAAATTTGAAAGCCGATAACCAATATTTCGGCCGATAAATCAAAATTTGAAAGCCAATAACCGATAAATCGGCCGATAAATCAATATTTGAACGCTGATAACCGATATATCGGCCGATAAATCAAAATTTGAAAGCCGATAACCGATATATCGGCCGATAAATCAAAATTTGAAAGCCAGTAACCGATATATCGGCCGATAAATCAAATTTGAAAGCTGATAACCGATATATTGGCTGATAAATCAAAATTTGAAAGCTGATAACCGATATATTGGCTGATAAATCAAAATTTGAAAAGCTGATAACCGACATATCGGCCGATAAATCAAAATTTGGAAGCCGATAACCAGTATATCGGCCGATAAATCAAAATTTGAAAGCTGATAACCGATATATCGGCCAATAAATCAAAACTTGAAAGCCAATAACCGATATATCGGCCGATAAATCAAATTTGAAAGCTGATGACCGATATATTGGCTGATAAATCAAAATTTGAAAGCCGATAACCGATATATCGGCCGATAAATCAAAATTTTGAAAGCCGAAAACCGATATATCGGCCGATAAAACCAAATTTGAAAGCCGATAACCAATATATCGGCCGATAAATCAAAATTTGAAAGCCGATAACCGATATATCGGCCGATAAATCAAAGTTTGAAAGCTGATAAGCGATATATCAGCCGATAAATCAAAATGTATCGCAATTAGAAAAAAATCCCAATTTTTTATACATCATTTTTGAGAGCCTGATTACAAAAACAAAAGTCTCACCATTACATCCACGTCTCAAACACACGTGTTCTCATTATAGTTTATGTAGCCGATATGACAGAACTGTATTTTCCATTTCTGAAGTGATTCTAATCATATTTCAAGCAATTCAAACCCATCATGTTGAACTGTGCGCATCAGAAGAGTCTCAGCTGAAGGAACTAATACATTATTTATCAAAATAATACATTTTCTTATCAGGCCGATACCGATATCATTAAAAATGAACGTATATTGTCAATACTGACCGATATATATCGTGCATCCCTAATATTATTGGCTCTTTGATGCTTCTTGTAGGAATCTGCTGAATGCGAGCGTGGGTTGTGATGTCACTTCCTGCGGAACAGGTTCTTGATGCTCTCGGCGGCCACGGGCTCGGCCATCATCTTCATGGGCTGGTTCTGCAGCGCCGCCTCACGCATGGAGTGATACACGTACTCGTTCTGCTTGAACATGCGCAGCTCCATCTCCGTCTGCATGCGCATGGCCTGAAAATAACCCAAAATTGTTTAGAGAGTGTGTATATATACAGTCAATCCGAAAATGATTCAGACTCCAGATATGATGTTGATATGTTCCACTAGTGTGATCAGGACACTATAGTTGATTTGTGTAAGTGAGGAGAGCAAAATAAAGTAAACTGTGCCATATTCCAGCCAAATCTTCTTCATCCAGTGACTACAGTAACAATGATTCCTCCACTTTGAGCTGAAGTGTGTTTTCTGCTCTTTTTACACACACACTGAACAACATGAAGCATTGCTTGAGCTAAACTGCTATTATCTAATTGTGGAGTTCAATTGAACAGCTGACAGATATTCAACATAATTCATGTGCGAGAGTCAAGGACGGAAAAAAAACACTAAAAAATATATATGAAGAGTTCAGATGCAAAAGCCTCTAAATGCCATTTGAAATTTTCTACTTTAATGATGATTTTTAACAAACTTGTTATTTAAGTTCAGTAATTTCACTTAAATGGAAATGATAATTATCTATTAATTGTTATTTAAGTGAAATTACTGAACTTAAATATACAAGTTTGATCAAAATCATCATTAAAGATGATTGGCATTTAGAGGCTTTTGCATCTGAACTCTTCATATAATAATGAGTTCTTGTCAGATTGTATTACCATTTTATAAACTATAGCGAATATTAGGAGTGTCACAATATATCGCAATACAAAAATCCATCAATATGTATCGTGGATTATGTTGAATATAATGTATATGTCTGATAATGCAAAATGTTACCAGTGAAAAGTGGGCAAAATTATTTTAAATATATCAAGAGTGGCCGAGTACAAGCATATTCTGTATTTTCAGCATGTTTTGTTAACCTCTCAATAATATCGTACACTATAAACAATGCTGGGTTGTTTTAACACGAATTTGGATAAAATATGGACAAACCCAAATGTTGGGGTAAAAATGTCATTTTAAATTTTAACGCAACTTTCACTTTCAACTGTAAATGTTTTAATAATGCATTTTTAACCCAACATTTGGGTTTGTCCATATTTGACCCAAATTTGGTCGTGAGTTCGTGAGTTCAGAATCGTGATCCAATCGTGACGTGAAGGCATCGTTACACACTGTGATAATGTGAGGAATGCTGAAGTCGTCTGAATATTAACATTTATGCATTTGGCGACGCTTTTATCCGAAGCGACTAACATTGCATTTCAAGCTCCACATTTACAGGCGAAACTCGAAAGATTAGAATATGGAGCAAAAGTTCAGTATTCAACTCAAAAGGTGAAACTAATATATTATATAGACTAATTACATGCAAAGTGAGATATTTCAAGCCTTTATTTGTTATAAATGTGATGATTATGGATTACAGATATGAAAACCTTTTCACAATATTCTAATTTTGAATTTGGGGTTTAAGGCATAATCATCACAATTATAACAAATAAAGGCTTGAAATATCTCACTTTGCATGTTTGAGTCTATATAATATATTGATTTACTGAAATAAATGAACTTTTGCACCATATTCATATTTTTCGAGTTTCGCCTGTACATTCTTATCAGTTCTTGCTCTCCCCGTGACCTCTGAGCCGCAGGAGAGCTGTGGATATATCTCAGGCTCGTGTGACCGGTGTTGGCGGAGCTGTACCTCCAGGTCTTTGGTGATGGGATGTGTCGGGCCGTGTGTGATCATCAGGATGGCGTAGGCTTTGCAGATCATGCCGTGGCCGACCTCGATCAGTCCCGCCTGCCAGTGCGTCACGCCGGCCCGCATCGTGGCCATTCCCAGCTGAGCGTGGTTGGGATGGTACAGTTTTCTATTTCGACACACACACACACACACACATATAAAGACGAACTATTAAGCCTTTTCTCAAAGTCTTGATGCTGTTTTTGGGCTCTACTCAAATAGATCTGCTTGCATTATTTACCCATAATCCCCAAAGCTCTAGGATTATTGTGAGTGATGATACACACCTCGTGAACTCGTAAATGTATCAAGTGTCTAACGAAACGAAGTTCACTTTTGTACCAGAAGCCATTCGTATTTGTAATGCACATTTTTTATTAAAGAGGTTTTGAGGTTGTAATTAATTTGTGTGTGTGTGTGTGTGTGTGGTTTTATTATAAAGCATGGTGTGCATTGGAATATTAATGTTTCTAATGCATGTCTTTTTAGTTTGTGATGTGATGTCACACTGCCCTAATATAATTACCCCTTGTGGGATTAATAAAGTGGTTAATTTAACACACACACACACTCACAGGTATCCCTCCACCATCTTGCGCGCATACGTAGACGCCTCGTCGAAGAACTGCAGGTATGAAAGCACTTCGCTGAGTGTGCTCCACATGCGCAGCTGATAGATGTGTGTGTTGGCCAGCACGTTCTCCTGCTTCTTCACACACTCGCGGCAGATCTTCACCACCTGCACACACACACACACACATACTCGTGTTACGTTACACACCTGCAGCTGCATGCACTGGTCCGTACGGAGACTCATCTGTACCTCGTTGTAGTTGGCGTCCTGCCGGGCCTTCTCCATCTTCTCCAGCATCTTCCGGCTGTATTCCGTGATTTCTTTCACCGTTTCTTCTGGAACCTGCAGAGGAACATCCAACACCACGCCCAAACTCCATCAGCCTCATTTATAGTTCAGTATTAGGGGTCAGGGGTTCCGAGGGTCATTTGGGTCATTTCGGGTCACGGGTTCTGAGGGTCATGAGGGGTTCTGAGGGTCATTAGGGGTCAGGGATTCTGAGGGTCATTAGGGGTCAGGGGTTCTGAGGGTTATTAGGCGTCAGGGGTTCTGAGGGTCATTAGGGGTCAGGGGTTCTGAGGGTTATTAGGCGTCAGGGGTTCTGAGGGTCATTAGGGGTCAGGTGTTCTGAGGGTCATTAGGGGTCAGGGGTTCTGAGGGTTATTAGGCGTCAGGGGTTCTGAGGGTCATTAGGGGTCAGGTGTTCTGAGGGTCATTAGGGGTCAGGGGTTCTGAGGGTCATTAGGGGTCAGGTGTTCTGAGGGTCATTAGGGGTCAGGGATTCTGAGGGTCATTAGGGGTCAGGGGTTCTGAGGGTCATTAGGGGTCAGGTGTTCTGAGGGTCATTAGGGGTCAGGGGTTCTGAGGGTCATTAGGGGTCAGGGGTTCTGAGGGTTATTAGGCGTCAGGGGTTCTGAGGGTCATTAGGGGTCAGGTGTTCTGAGGGTCATTAGGGGTCAGGAGTTCTGAGGGTCATTAGGGGTCAGGTGTTCTGAGGGTCATTAGGGGTCAGGTGTTCTGAGGGTCATTAGGGGTCAGGGGTTCTGAGGGTTATTAGGCGTCAGGGGTTCTGAGGGTCATTAGGGGTCAGGTGTTCTGAGGGTCATTAGGGGTCAGGTGTTCTGAGGGTCATTAGGGGTCAGGTGTTCTGAGGGTCATTAGGGGTCAGGTGTTCTGAGGGTCATTAGGGGTCAGGTGTTCTGAGGGTCATTAGAGGTCAGGGATTCTGAGGGTCATTATGGGTCAGGTGTTCTGAGGGTCATTAGGGGTTCTGAGGGTCATTAGGGGTCAGGTGTTCTGAGGTTCATTAGGGGTTCTGAGGGTCATTAGGGGTCAGGTGTTCTGAGGGTCATTAGGGGTCAGGTGTTCTGAGGGTCATTAGGGGTCAGGTGTTCTGAGGGTCATTAGAGGTCAGGGATTCTGAGGGTCATTATGGGTCAGGTGTTCTGAGGGTCATTAGGGGTTCTGAGGGTCATTAGGGGTCAGGTGTTCTGAGGTTCATTAGGGGTTCTGAGGGTCATTAGGGGTCAGGGATTCTGAGGGTCATTAGGGGTCAGGGGTTCTGAGGGTTATTAGGCGTCAGGGGTTCTGAGGGTCATTAGGGGTCAGGTGTTCTGAAGGTCATTAGGGGTCAGGGATTCTGAGGGTCATTAGGGGTCAGGGATTCTGAGGGTCATTAGGGGTCAGGGGTTCTGAGGGTTATTAGGCGTCAGGGGTTCTGAGGGTCATTAGGGGTCAGGTGTTCTGAGGGTCATTAGGGGTCAGGGGTTCTGAGGGTTATTAGGCGTCAGGGGTTCTGAGGGTCATTAGGGGTCAGGTGTTCTGAGGGTCATAAGGGGTCAGGTGTTCTGAGGGTCATTAGGGGTCAGGGATTCTGAGGGTCATTAGGGGTCAGGTGTTCTGAGGGTCATTAGGGGTCAGGGATTCTGAGGGTCATTAGGGGTCAGGGGTTCTGAGGGTTATTAGGCGTCAGGGGTTCTGAGGGTTATTAGGCGTCAGGTGTTCTGAGGGTCATTAGGGGTCAGGTGTTCTGAGGGTCATTAGGGGTCAGGTGTTCTGAGGGTCATTAGAGGTCAGGGATTCTGAGGGTCATTAGGGGTTCTGAGGGTCATTAGGGGTCAGGTGTTCTGAGGGTCATTAGGGGTCAGGTGTTCTGAGGGTCATTAGAGGTCAGGGATTCTGAGGGTCATTATGGGTCAGGTGTTCTGAGGGTCATTAGGGGTTCTGAGGGTCATTAGGGGTCAGGTGTTCTGAGGTTCATTAGGGGTTCTGAGGGTCATTAGGGGTCAGGTGTTCTGAGGTTCATTAGGGGTTCTGAGGGTCATTAGGGGTCAGGGATTCTGAGGGTCATTAGAGGTCAGGGGTTCTGAGGGTTATTAGGCGTCAGGGGTTCTGAGGGTCATTAGGGGTCAGGTGTTCTGAAGGTCATTAGGGGTCAGGGATTCTGAGGGTCATTAGGGGTCAGGGATTCTGAGGGTCATTAGGGGTCAGGGGTTCTGAGGGTTATTAGGCGTCAGGGGTTCTGAGGGTCATTAGGGGTCAGGTGTTCTGTGTTCTGAGGGTCATTAGGGGTCAGGGGTTCTGAGGGTTATTAGGCGTCAGGGGTTCTGAGGGTCATTAGGGGTCAGGTGTTCTGTGTTCTGAGGGTCATTAGGGGTCAGGGATTCTGAGGGTCATTAGGGGTCAGGGGTTCTGAGGGTTATTAGGCGTCAGGGGTTCTGAGGGTTATTAGGCGTCAGGTGTTCTGAGGGTCATTAGGGGTCAGGTGTTCTGAGGGTCATTAGGGGTCAGGTGTTCTGAGGGTCATTAGGGGTCAGGTGTTCTGAGGGTCATTAGAGGTCAGGGATTCTGAGGGTCATTATGGGTCAGGTGTTCTGAGGGTCATTAGGGGTTCTGAGGGTCATTAGGGGTCAGGTGTTCTGAGGTTCATTAGGGGTTCTGAGGGTCATTAGGGGTCAGGTGTTCTGAGGTTCATTAGGGGTTCTGAGGGTCATTAGGGGTCAGGGATTCTGAGGGTCATTAGGGGTCAGGGGTTCTGAGGGTTATTAGGCGTCAGGGGTTCTGAGGGTCATTAGGGGTCAGGTGTTCTGAAGGTCATTAGGGGTCAGGGATTCTGAGGGTCATTAGGGGTCAGGGATTCTGAGGGTCATTAGGGGTCAGGGGTTCTGAGGGTTATTAGGCGTCAGGGGTTCTGAGGGTCATTAGGGGTCAGGTGTTCTGAGGGTCATTAGGGGTCAGGGGTTCTGAGGGTTATTAGGCGTCAGGGGTTCTGAGGGTCATTAGGGGTCAGGTGTTCTGAGGGTCATAAGGGGTCAGGTGTTCTGAGGGTCATTAGGGGTCAGGGATTCTGAGGGTCATTAGGGGTCAGGTGTTCTGAGGGTCATTAGGGGTCAGGGATTCTGAGGGTCATTAGGGGTCAGGTGTTCTGAGGGTCATTAGGGGTCAGGGATTCTGAGGGTCATTAGGGGTCAGGGGTTCTGAGGGTTATTAGGCGTCAGGGGTTCTGAGGGTTATTAGGCGTCAGGTGTTCTGAGGGTTATTAGGCGTCAGGTGTTCTGAGGGTCATTAGGGGTCAGGTGTTCTGAGGGTCATTAGGGGTCAGGTGTTCTGAGGGTCATTAGAGGTCAGGGATTCTGAGGGTCATTAGGGGTTCTGAGGGTCATTAGGGGTCAGGTGTTCTGAGGGTCATTAGGGTCAGGTGTTCTGAGGGTTATTAGAGGTCAGGGATTCTGAGGGTCATTAGGGGTTCTGAGGGTCATTAGAGGTCAGGGATTCTGAGGGTCATTATGGGTCAGGTGTTCTGAGGGTCATTAGGGGTTCTGAGGGTCATTAGGGGTCAGGTGTTCTGAGGTTCATTAGGGGTTCTGAGGGTCATTAGGGGTCAGGGATTCTGAGGGTCATTAGGGGTCAGGGGTTCTGAGGGTTATTAGGCGTCAGGGGTTCTGAGGGTCATTAGGGGTCAGGTGTTCTGAAGGTCATTAGGGGTCAGGGATTCTGAGGGTCATTAGGGGTCAGGGATTCTGAGGGTCATTAGGGGTCAGGGGTTCTGAGGGTTATTAGGCGTCAGGGGTTCTGAGGGTCATTAGGGGTCAGGTGTTCTGTGTTCTGAGGGTCATTAGGGGTCAGGGGTTCTGAGGGTTATTAGGCGTCAGGGGTTCTGAGGGTCATTAGGGGTCAGGTGTTCTGTGTTCTGAGGGTCATTAGGGGTCAGGGATTCTGAGGGTCATTAGGGGTCAGGGGTTCTGAGGGTTATTAGGCGTCAGGGGTTCTGAGGGTTATTAGGCGTCAGGTGTTCTGAGGGTCATTAGGGGTCAGGTGTTCTGAGGGTCATTAGGGGTCAGGTGTTCTGAGGGTCATTAGAGGTCAGGGATTCTGAGGGTCATTAGAGGTCAGGGATTCTGAGGGTCATTAGGGGTTCTGAGGGTCATTAGGGGTCAGGTGTTCTGAGGTTCATTAGGGGTTCTGAGGGTCATTAGGGGTCAGGGATTCTGAGGGTCATTAGGGGTCAGAGGTTAAGTCATTCGAGCTCAGACTGGAGTTCAGCTCCTTATCTTTCACTGAAGGACTGAGATATTAATAACAGCACTAATCTCTGCAGAGCCACAGGACTCAGATAGTGCTGCAACATGCTGTGTGTCTCCTGCCTTCTCATATCTGCTTCTCTCATTCGTTCGTTCGTTCGTTCATTGATTCATTTGTTCATTCATTCATTCAATCATCCATTCGTTCATTCAATGTATCATTCATTCATTCAATCAATCAATCACTCAATCATTCATTCGTTTGTTCATTCATTTGTTCACTGAATCATTAATTCATTCATTGATCCATTCATTGATTAATTAATTCATTCGATCACTCATTGATTGATTGACTAATGTTACGTCTGAGAGTAAGCGTCACCTTCTCTCCCTCCAGCTCGGCTCCGGCCATCTTCAGGTCGTCTCCGGTGCGGTTGGTGCAGTGTTCGCAGGTGCAGTCGAAGTAATACTGTTGCTTCAGCAAACGCCTGCGGTCTTCAGACAGGTTGAGATAGTCCACATACGACACGGTCACCTCTTCCCCGGGACTGATCTTCCCCAGCGCTCGCAGCTCGATTCTGTGACACACACACACACACACATGCTCGAACCAGAGCACACACAACTAATCTACACACTTCAGCCTCATGAACCGGTTCCTGCGCTCACAGTCCAGATCAAGTAAGCGCACACAACCAAACACTCTTTGCTAACTAGGCGAAAACAGAGGAGTTGTGTATATAGACCCAGATTGTGATCATATACAACATATTAACGGAAACACAGACGTGAGATATTTGCATGAGTGTAATTAGTTGTGGCAGATGTCAAGACTGGAAGGAAGTGTTATTAGATGCGAAAGAGGTTAGAAGTGACCAACCACCCGTCACCAGCTCTCGGCACACTTCAATTCTGTCATCATTTGACTCTCGATTCGTTACAACGACGTTTCTTTCTTTCTTCAGCAGAACATGAAAGAAAACACAATGAAACATGGAAACGAACTTGAGCATTTGTAAATGATAACAGAATTTTATATAAATATCAGCATTTGATTTAGGGTTTAATCCAGATTATCCAGAACAAACGTTCTCCCAGTAAAGTTAATAGATCGTTATCGGTTCTTGAAACGTTCATGATTCAATGTTCAATGTTCAAATGTTTCAAAATTGAAAGGAATCGCTTTATTAAAGTCCCGACCTTGTAACCAATCAGATCGACGTGTGATCGTCAACCAGGAGGCGGGGCTCATTTGCATATTCATAGAACCGCACATACTAAATGAGGCGAGGGTGTCGAGTTGCATTCAAGACATGGGAAAAACGTTTAAATATGTAATTTTAGTGATCACAGATGAGTTTTAAGGGATGAAATGATTGACTAAAGGGGGACTTTAAATGTTTAGATGTTTAACTTTTCAGAGAACTTTACTGGAACGTTATCTAAAATGAGTTAGTGCAAGCGAACTCTCCTGGTTAAAGCTGTGTCTCCGTCGTGTTCTGTTTGGCCGTGTTTGGGTAGTTGATTATGTGAAATGAAAGATGTGATGAAAGAAAGAAGAAGATCTGATGAAAGAGGTACGTTTAGACGGACCCACCTCTTCTGAGAATGATACATAGTATCGACAGCCGACTGACTGAAACACAAAGCAAGAAGCAGCTGGACTTACTGAACTCAGGAGACTGTTCTCAATCAAACTCTGCTGTTGTTCTGACGTTACAAAACAGGCAAAGCTACAATTACGCACATTATACGTGTGGAGGCCAAATGCTGGTGTACTTCAAATTACAATTACACAGCTTTATTTGGACGTTTCCATGTAAGCTGGTTTGAGCCACAGAATGAAAAATAAAAAGGTAATTGCGACTTTTTATTTCACAATTGGGTGATAGAAAGTCGCAATTATGAATTATACACTCAGAATTGAGAGATATAAACTGGAAATTCAGACTTTTTTTAACCTTAGAATTTAACTTCATAACTCGCAATTGCAAGTTTATATCTCACAATCCTGAGAAAAAAATGTCAGAATTGTCTGATATAAAGTCATAATTGCGTTATATAAAATTGCAATTGTGAGAAAAAAAGTCGGACTTTATAACACAATTCTGACTGTATATCTCGCAATTCTGACTTTATATCTCGCAATTCTGACTTTGTATGAGTTTATATCACAAAATTCTGACTTTATAGGAGTTTTTATCACACAATTCTGACTTTATATGAGTTTATATCACACAATTCTGACTTTATATCTCGCAATTCTGACTTTGTATGAGTTTATATCACAAAATTCTGACTTTATAGGAGTTTTTATCACACAATTCTGACTTTATGAGTTTATATCACACAATTCTGACTTTATATCTCGCAATTCTGACTTTGTATGAGTTTATATCACAAAATTCTGACTTTATAGGAGTTTTTATCACACAATTCTGACTTTATATGAATTTTTATCACACAATTCTGACTTTATATGTCGCAATTCTGACTTTATATCTCGCAATTCTGACTTTGTATGAGTTTATATCACAAAATTCTGACTTTATATGAGTTTATATCACACAATTCTGACTTTATAGGAGTTTATATCACAAAATTCTGACTTTATAGGAGTTTTTATCACACAATTCTGACTTTATGAGTTTATATCACACAATTCTGACTTTATATCTCGCAATTCTGACTTTGTATGAGTTTATATCACAAAATTCTGACTTTATAGGAGTTTTTATCACACAATTCTGACTTTATATGAATTTTTATCACACAATTCTGACTTTATATGTCGCAATTCTGACTTTATATCTCGCAATTCTGACTTTGTATGAGTTTATATCACAAAATTCTGACTTTATATGAGTTTATATCACACAATTCTGACTTTATAGGAGTTTTTATCACAAAATTCTGACTTTACATGAGTTTATATTTCAAAATTCTGACTTTATAGGAGTTTATATCACACAATTCTGACTGTATAGGAGTTTATATCACAAATTTTTGACTTTACATGAGTTTACATCACAAAATTTTGACTTTATAGGAGTTTTTATCACAAAATTCTGACTTTACAGGAGTTTATATTACAAAATTCTGACTTTATAGGAGTTTATATCACACAATTCTGACTTTATATCAGTTTATATCACAAAATTTTGACTTTATATGTTACTTTATAGAATTTTGAGATGTAACTGGAAATTATGGCAATTATGGCAATTATCTTTTAAAACGTTTCATCCTGTGGCGGAAACACGCTTCCATAACATTCTCTGTGAGTCTCGTTCATTGAGAGCGTCTTATCATGACCATCATGAGTTGAAAGAATGCATGTTCACCACACATTAACGCTACAGTATGGCACACACAGGCCGCAGTATTTGGGTGAACACACACATTTCACGGAAACCCTGAATCACATGAGCGGGTTATTCCCTTCCCAACTCTTTCAGTTCAAACTCTCAGTTCCTCCAGCTCATCGTTCTCTCGGACTCCTCGCCCACACACTACTTTCACCTGTCCGCTCTCACGCTCACACTGAGGATCTGAAGACCGGCGCCGACACTCACTTGCCGTTGTTGAGTATGACGGTACAGTTGGGCCAGCAATCGTGGTTCACCAGACACAAGTTAGGAAACAACCCGACGCCAACCGCCTGCAAACCTCTCTGATCGCTCACCATGAACCCGTTACAGTTGATCTGGGGAAACGCGGAAGACACAAAAGTGCAATTATGTGTTAAAAAATGTGATATATTATTGCAATTTAAAATATCATTTTTCTATGTGAATATATAGTAAAGTGTAATTTATTCCTGTGATTTCCAGCATCATTACTCCAGTCTTCAGTGTCACATGATCCTCCAGAAATCACTCTAATATGAGGATCTGATGATCAACAAACATTATTATCAATGCTGAAGACGGTTCATTTTTTTTGTGGTAAATATGACAACCTGCTATTCAAAAGTTTAGAATAACTAAGATTAAAATATTTGATATTAATATTTGTACTCATCAAGGAAAAACAAATTTATGATGGTTTCCACAAAAATATGAACTGTTTTCAACACTGATAATAATCATCAGATTAGAAAAATTAGAATATGATGCAAAAGTTCAGTAATTCAACTTAAAAGGTAAAGACTCATTACATGCAAAGTGAGATATTTTATTTATTTGTTATAATTGTGATGATTATGACTCACAATATTCTATTTTTGAATTTGGGGTTTAAGCCATAATCATCACAATTATAACAAATAAAGGCTTGAAATATGTCACTTTGCATGTAATGAGTCTATATAATATATTAGTTTCACCTTTTAAGTTGAATTACTGAAATAAATGAACTTTTGCACCATATTCAAATTTATTCACATAGAAAACAACATTTTAAGATATAATATGTCATTTTGTTTTCTGTATTTTTGTGATCGTAAGAGATTCTTCTTTCAAACACATTAAACATGATGATGATTCGGAGGAACGCACCACTCCGAGGATGTGTGAGATGCTGTCCACCGTGTGCTGTTTGCTCCCGCGAGGCCAGAAGTCCAGGAAGTTGTGGATGTCGACTTTGAAGTCCTTCAGGTCGTCCTCGTTCATGTCAGAGACGTGGTTTTCCAGTTCATCCAGGGTCGTCATCTGCATGTCCGAGACCACCATTCCATGCTTATCGACACGCCACATGATGCGAGCCGCGAGACTAAAACACAGAACATCACATTTGTACATCATTTCTGTCACATATGAGCGTGAACGCTACGTGCAGAACGCCACCGTGAAGGGAGCTTTCCCTCGCGGGTCAAAATGACCTAAAATTATACTTTTTATTATTTAATTTTTTTATTCAGAAAGCTTATTTTATTTCTATTTTTAATGCCATTTTTGGGGAGAATTTTTGTTATTTTTTATTTTATTTACCTTTAAATGACTGTATTTGATCAGTAAATAATAAATAATTAGTAATTTAAGCACATTTCTCACATTATTTCAACTTAAATTCAAAATAACTCTCTTAATTCAGCTCTAAATATCTGACATTGTGTGTCTTTGCCGACCGCTTGTGTTAAATAAATAATATAACATAATATTTAATGACTTTCATGACGCATTCAGATACACGTGTAGATATTATAAAATAATTTTTTGGTAAAGTTTTAGCATTTTTAGTTAGAAAAAACTAAAAATGCTGAAGCTTTTTAAAATTTCTATTTTTAATGCAATTTTTTGGGAGAATTTTTTTATTTTTTATTTTATTTACCTTTAAATGACTGTATTTGATCAATAAATAATAAATAATTAGTAATTTAAGCACATTTCTCACATTCTTTCAACTTAAATTCAAAATAACTCTCTTAATTCAGCTCTAAATATCTGACATTGTGTGTCTTTGCCGACCGCTTGTGTTACATAAATAATATAACATATTTCATGACTTTCATGACGCATTCAGATACACATGTATATATTATAAAATCATTTTTTGGTAAAGTTTTAGCATTTTTAGTCAGAAAAACTAAAAATGCTAAAACTTTTTAAAATGTCTATTTTTAATGCAATTTTTTGGGAGAATTTTTTAATTTTATTTACCTTTAAATGACTGTATTTGATCAATAAATAATAAATAATTAGTAATTTAAGCACATTTCTCACATTCTTTCAACTTAAATTCAAAATAACCCTTTTAAATCAGCTAAATATCTGACGTTGTGTGTCTTTGCCGACCGCTTGTGTTACATAAATAATATAACATAATATTTAATGACTTTCATGACGCATTCAGATACACATGTATATATTATAAAATCATTTTTTGCTAAAGTTTTAGCATTTTTAGTTAGAATTTTTAGCATTTTTAGGTTTATCTGTGTGTACTGAAGCACTCTTCGCGGTCAGAAATAAAATTTCAAGAAATAAAATAGAAATAAAATGTGTGTGTGTGTGTATTTGTGGATCAAGTGTGACAAAAGTCCAGGGGTCTTGGACTCCTCTGAGATTTTTTGGGGTCAAAGTTTTGGGTCAAAATGAGCCGAGGGAATGATGAGGCCTAAGATACACTGAAAACACCAGCATTGATGTGTGCATTCACATATATGTGTATTTAACATGCCCTTTTCAAGCACTACTTTTAGTTTTGTTTTGAACTACAATGAGAGATCTCACTTATCAAACAACATCTTTATTTTATTTCAAATTCTAAAAAAGGTAAATAGATAAACAAAATGGTTCAAATAAAGAGCACAAGCATTGACTGTGGAAACTTAACCATTGAAAGGACACTATGAGAAAGACATCGCTTTCCTCGTTCAAACGGATTTTTTCCCACATGAATATATGATTGAAATGCTGCATCATATACATGGATATTTATGAGCAATATCACACTCATAACCATGTGAAATTACTCTATATCAATATCAGATGGACTGGAGTGTTAATGGTCCCACTTTATATTAAGTGGCTTTAAGTACTATGTACTTACATTGAACAATAAGTACAATGTATTGTAATGTAAAACACTTTTGCTGCTATTGAGGTGTGATACGGGTAAGGTTAGGGACAGGTGTGGTGGTATATGGGTAGGTTTAAGGGTAGGTTAAGGTTTGAGGGGAGGGTCAACTGTGTAATTACAAATGTAATTACATAAATGAATTATAGCTGTAATTACATGCTGGAATTTTAAAATGTAAGTACAATGTAAAAACATGTATGTACACAATAAGTCCATTGTATCAAATTATTAATTTCAATGTAATTACATAGTACTTAAAGCCACTTAATATAAAGTGGGACCGTGTTAATTTTGCATGAAAAGATTGTTTTATCATTAAAATGTATTCAAAAGCACCATTCATAAAAATGGAGAGTTTTCCAGGACTAATGTCAGATTCAAGCATCGCTGATCATAACGGAAGTGTTTCGGCTCGTACCGGATGTTTTCATTGGGTGCTTTCCCGTAGCTCTTGATGGCAGCGCACTCGAGCTTGTGCTCTTCCCACGCGGCTCGCTGACACGTCCGGTCGCAGTATTGAGCGAATCGGCACTGACCGCAGCGCTGGAGCTTCTCCTGCCGCCGGAAACACCAGTGACACACACTGGACACCAGACTGGAACAGAGGACGCTTCATTACGCCACGCACACACACACTCAAACACACTTACAGATCATGTAGAAACACAAACTTTACACACATGCCAGCCTGATGAAACTCAGTTGCCATAGCAACACTATATAGAGAAAACAATGCATCAATATATAAAAAAAAACTCTTTACATTTACAAACGCATTTACAGATGAAAAATAAATACTCTGAACCCCAATTTGCACAAAGTGAGTTGTGCCCGCTCTACACATCAGAGTTTCTGACAGTATTTGGTGACACACTTATACTGTACATTATCCTTTCATGCTGAATCATCTTATGCAACCCTGTTTTTATATCTCATGTTCAAACAGGAAAACCGATTCTTCACGGTCTGATCATAAATTGCTCGATTATAATCTTGATTTTACAGTGTGTTATTTTAAGACAAGTTCGGATCTGGAAAAGCCACGCAAGTTCTTTTTGGGCCTTGGGTTAAATATAGACTATAAACAGCATATGACACCTCGACTGGATTGACCCCTGCTATTTACAGCTCAATAATCAGTGTTACTGTGGAATCTCACTTGCAGAGGCTCTATGGGGAACTTTAAAGGTTGTGTCAGGCGCTTTTAGGGGTTCCAGCACGAGATAAAGCTTTTAGTATATTAGTAAATATAATTGATCAGTAATTTATAGCATTTAAGAGCTATTGAATCCCATTTTCTCTAAGAGTGAACTAGTTTTTAGTGATATTTTGAATTATAAACAATCTGCTGTATGGAAGCTTGTTTCCTCCACAGAATAAAAAATGGAAAAGGCAATTGCGATTTTTTACCTCACAATTGCAAGATGTCAGTCAGACATTGCGAGATAGTCAAAATTGTGTTATAAAGTCAGAATTGCGAGATATAAAGTCAGAATTGCGAGATATAAAGTCAGAATTGCGAGATATAAAGTCAGAATTGCGAGATATAAAGTCAGAATTGCGAGATATAAAGTCAGAATTGCGAGATATAAAGTCAGAATTGTGAGATATAAAGTCAGAATTGTGAGATATAAAGTCAGAATTGTCATTAACTACATGCGGAAGGCTAAAGCAAAATTCTTTATGGATATTATCATTGAGGCCAAGGGAAATGGCAAAAAGATTTGGCAAAATCTCAATAAATTACTTGGTAGACAAAAAGAAAAGTCAATTGAAGCCTTTGAACTCAGAATTAACAACACTGTAGTTAAAGATGCAAATTCTCTATCAAAAGAATTTAACCAATACTTTTCTAAATCTGTTAGGGAGATAACTGAACAGTTTGAGCCATCTGATAAAATATCTAGACCCATTGATTTCGCCAAGCCTGTGTTCAATTTGCGTGAAATAACAGAACTAGAGGTGGACGACATCATTGGGTCACTTAAGAGTTCCAAAGCAAATGATGTTTATGGGCTAGATTCATATTCTCTAAAATTATGTAAAGATTCCTTAATTGCTCCAATTACATATATGATTAATTTATCATTCAAGCAGAGAACTGTTCCATCTTTCTGGAAAATGGCCTTAGTCACCCCAATCTTTAAATCAGGTGATAAATTAAATGTAATCAATTACCGACCCATCAGTATCCTCCCGGTTGTCTCTAAGGTTGCAGAGAGGTGGGTTGCTAAAATTATAAATGAACACTTAAATAATGGCCACTCCTCCTTGCATCCTATGCAATTTGGATTCCGCACCAATCATTCGACTGAATTTGCCAATAGTTTGTTTGTAGAAAAAGTAAAGAGTAAATTGGACAATAATACCTGTGTCGGAGCGGTGTTTTTAGATTTAAGAAAGGCATTTGACACTGTGAATCATGACATTTTATTATCTAAACTGACATATTTTAACTTTTCTTTAAATGCCATTCAATGGATTAAATCTTACTTGGAATCAAGAAAACAGTGTGTTAATATTGGCGGTGTCAAATCATCTTTCTTGGATGTCCCCGTTGGTGTGCCTCAAGGGTCAATACTCGGTCCTTTACTATTTTCTTTATATATAAATGACCTTCCAAACACTTGTGCTGATGTTGAATTTCAAATGTATGCTGATGACGCAGTCATCTACACAAGTGCCAAAAGTGTTCAAGAAGCTTCTGCCATTCTGACCTCTGCTCTGGTCCCTGTAAATGAATGGCTCTTTAAATCCTGTCTGTTACTTAATGTTGAAAAAACCGTCTGTATGATGTTTACTAAACAGTCTCGTGACATAAAACAATCTGGTGTATTTCTAAAAGGAGAAGAATTAGAAATCGTCTCGGAATTTAAGTACCTTGGTCTGACCCTTGATTCTACATTAAGTTTTAAAAAACATGTTAAAAAAATATCGAATAAAGTAAAATTTAATTTACGAAATTTTAAACAAATTCGTCAATTTATACCATTTGGGGCTGCTAAAATGTTTTTACATTCGATGATTCTATCGCATATGGAATATTGCTGTACAAGCTGGACTTTGACCGGTATGAAAACATTTAAATCAATAGAATTACTCTATAAAAATGCCATAAAAGTCCTTGATAAAAAGCCAATGTCCTTCCATATTTGTAAGATTTTACAAAAACACAACATATTAAGCATAGAGAATTTAATTTTTTTTAAATATGCCGGTTTTGTTTACAAAGTGTTACATGGATTAGCCCCACCCCCCTTGTTGGACTTTTTTAAACTAAACACTAATAGTGGTGCCAGGACACGGGCCTCTGTTAGAGGTGACTGTGAAGTTCCGTTCAGAAGAACAGCCTTTGGACAGAATTCTCTGTCTGTGAAGGCCTGTAAGTTATGGAACAGTATCCCCATCTCTGTCAGGGAATGTTCCACATTTCCTATATTCAAAACCAGACTCAAAGTGTGGCTTATAGCAAACCAGTCTTGTGACCACTAAGTGTTTTCTGTGTTTTTTGTTGTTGATTCCGGCTTGTAATTTTTACTTAGTTTTTTTTTTGTTTATTTTGTTTTTGTTGTTATTTTGTTTGTTGTAATTTTTGTATTTTTTGTTATTTGTCTAGGGACTACGGATGTAAATTAGCCCTGTGGCTATAATCCGGCATGTTTACGTCTGTTTTGTTGTCTCAATTCAGAGGTTCATTAATGTGCATTGTCCCTATCAAATAAATAAATAAATAAATAAATAAAATAAATAAAAGAATTGCGTGATATAAAGTCTAAAGATATAAATGTTTTATTCTGTGACGGAAACAAGCTGTCAAAACTGTAGGATTTACCATTTTCACTCAGAAATTACGACAAAATTGCATAAATAGTTACAAAAAAAGGCAAGTAACACTGAATTAAAGGAGTAGTTCACTTTAAAAAAAACTTTAGCTGATAATTTACTCACCCCCATGTCATCCAATAAGTCCACGTCTTTCTTTCTTCAGTGGAAAAGAAATGAAGGTTTTTGATGAAAACATTCCAGGATTTTCTCCATATAATGGACTTCAATGGGGTCCAAACGGTTCAAGGTCCAAATGAGAGTTTCAGTGCAGCTTCAAAGGGCTTTAAACGATTCCAGACGATGAATAAGGGTCTTATCAAGGACCCATTGAGTCATGACTCGAAAAACGAGTTCGAACAAGAGAGTCACGAACGCGCATCACAGAACAGAGCAAGGTGAGCATTTGAGCTTATAAAACTTCAAATTTTTAATTTATTTTTTAAATAAGCGATCGTTTCACTAGATAAGACCCTTATTCATCATCTGGAGCCCTTTCAAGCTGCACTGAAACTCTCATTTGGACCTTGAATTGTTTGGTCCCCATTGAAGTCCATTATATGGAGAAAATCCTGGAATGTTTTCATCAAAAACCTTAATTTCTTGTGAGATATAAAGTCAGAATTGTGAGATATAAAGTCAGAAATGTGAGATATAAAGTCAGAATTGCGAGTTATAAAGTCAGAATTGCGAGTTATAAAGTCAGAATTGTGAGATATAAAGTCAAAATTGCGAGTTATAAAGTCAGAATTGTGAGATATAAAGTCAGAATTGTGAGTTATAAAGTCAGAATTGTGAGATATAAAGTCAGAATTGTGAGATATAAAGTCAGAATTGTGAGATATAAAGTCAGAATTGCGAGTTATAAAGTCAGAATTGCGAGATATAAAGTCAGAATTGCGAGTTATAAAGTCAGAATTGCGAGTTATAAAGTCAGAATTGTGAGATATAAAGTCAGAATTGCGAGTTATAAAGTCAGAATTGTGAGATATAAAGTCAGAATTGTGAGTTATAAAGTCAGAATTGTGAGATATAAAGTCAGAATTGTGAGATATAAAGTCAGAATTGTGAGATATAAAGTCAGAATTGCGAGTTATAAAGTCAGAATTGTGAGTTATAAAGTCATGAGATGATGAATCTTAATTGTGAGATAAAAAGTTCCATTTATCTTTTAAAATGTTTTATTCTGTGACGGAAACAAGCTGTCAAAACTGTAGGATTTACCATTTTCACTCAGAAATTACGACAAAATTCTTTTCGACTGAAGAAAGAAAGACATGGACATCTTGGATGACACGGGGGCGAGTAAATTATCAGCAAGAGTTTTTTCAAAAGTGAACTACCCCTTTAAATGAGGTTCGGGAGGAGCCTAAACACTCAGTCCTGTCAATCATCATTACAAGCAGACGATATAAGCAGACCTCAACCATTCAAATTATAAGAAATAAAGGCTTGAAATATCTCACTTTGCATGTAATGAGTCTATATAATATATTAGTTTCACCTTTTAAGTTGAATTACTGAATTTAAATGAACTTTTGCACCATATTCTAATCTTTCGAGTTTCGCCTGTCAGCATTATGAATTATAATAATTCCATCATTGGGGGTGTAAGACGATCTAGAGAAACTATTCTCAGGTAGACAAACTGAAACTGTAAACATGCTTCAATAATCTTACACCTTCACTTTTATGTTTATATTATTCGGTTTTCATTTGAATTTAAAGTTTGACTCATTTTCTTCTTTGAAAATATCGCTTTTATTCATTTTATTTAATTTTAAGCCATTTTTTTTTTTTAAATGTCCCTGAGATAAAATACGTTTTAATAATTCCCTCTGTTTCAGTTAAACACACAATCCAATGCTCAAAAGTACCTTTACTCTTCAAACATGACGTTCTTCCTCAGTGTTTCAGTCTCGATTTCCAGCACAAATATCCAAACACTCTTAAATCAAGAGACATTTTCTGGAGAAGAAGCAAAATGACTGAAGATATTAAGATAAAATAACGTGTTTACACTTGATATGGGATCAGTTTTCCCTTTTAATTCAGTTTAATTCTCTGACTCCATTGTTCAGACTTCATATCTTCAGTCATTGCTCTTCTCCAGTAAATGTGAATGAGGAAGAACATCTTTGAGTTGCCCTTTTCCTCCTCGTCTTCATCATGTGTGTTTGCGCTCGGCTCTCACCTGTCTAACACCACAGACGCCAGCGGGGCCTCGGAGAACAGGACGTCCCCAGCCCACACCTCTTTGGTGGCCCGAAGGCCCCGGCCCTTCCCCGGAGAGTCGAACACTTCCACAAACTCCATGCCTGTCCGTCGTCTTCACTGAAGTCTTCTGTCTGGGATTCCTCGAGCACTCACTAAAATAGCCGAGGGCTCCAGCTGTACCATGTTGGGGTTCGGTGGGGGTGTTTCCAGAAGGTGTGTGTGTCGTCACACGGGGCGGTCCGGGTCAGGAGACCCAGAGGTCTGTGGAAAGAGCAGGAACAGGTGATGCAACAGCGCAGCTGGAGGAGATTTAATGCTGTTTGAGGTTGTAGATATTTACACACTTTTACCCCGCATGCGCTCACCCGGAGAGAGAGCGAGAGAGAGCGAGAGAGCGAGGGATATTTCTGTCCATCAGCTGGAGCCGCCCGTCAAGAGACAGCTGTCGCCACCTGGAGCTTCCAGCACCTTCCTTCCCCCCCACACACACACACACACTCTGGATCATTTACACACATATACACACACACACACACACACTCAAAGCTGTCAATGTGGAGGACTAACAGAAGGGAATAATAATAGTGATGAAAACTCTGAAAGGGCACAAAGGTCAATGAGGGAATATATAAAAAATAAATATATAAATATATATTTCTTTAAATATATATATATATAATATATATAAATAATAATTACTAAGTAATTAGTTACTGTAATTTAATTATTTTCCCTTGAAAATGTAAAGTAAGGGATAACTCTTAATTTATCTGTAATTTAATTAGTTACTTCTGATGTAATTGAGGTAAATACTGTGTATAGATCAATCCGATGCATTTTATGAGGTGTCTAAATATTACGACTGCACTCGTACAAATTCGCATGAATTATTGTAAAATATGTATGAAAAAAGTGTGAAATGTCATGCGATCAGACATAAAACAATAGTGGGTTTAATATCAAAATGTATTGTCTGATGCTAAAAAGTATTTTTATAATGTAACCTTCTCCACCTTGGTCAGTTTAAGGATAATTTACGGATTTTTATAGTATTTATTTGAAAGAATTAAAACAGATTCATGTCTATCCTTGTATTATTCAGCTGGTTGAGATTGATATGGGATTTTGAAAAGAATTAGTAATTAAATACTTTTTAGAGAGAGTAATTAGTACAGTAATCTAATTACACTGTTGAAGAGGTAATTAGTAACTAGTAATTAATGACTTTTTTAGAGTAACTTACCCAACACTGTATATATAAACATACATTTTTTATTCAAATATATATATATATATAATTTACATTTTTTATTTTAATATATATATTTGAAGAGTTCAGATGCAAAAGCCTCTAAATGCCATTTGAAATTTTCTTCTAAAATGATCATTTTTATCAAGCTTATATATTTAAGTTCGGTAATTTAACTTAAATGGCAATGAAGATTACCTATTAATTGCCATTTAAGTGAAATTACTGAACTTAAATACACAAGCTTGATAAAAATGACCATTCTAGAAGAAAATTTCAAATGGCATTTAGAGGCTTTTGCATCTGAACTCTTCATATATATATATATATATATATATATATCGATCGTCGGGTGATATCCATGCGCCGCAGTGAGTGTGTGTGTGTGTGTCCTCCTGATCATCGCATGCAAACACATGGACATCTGCTGCTTCCACGATTAGTGACGGACATCACACACACGACACACTCCAGGAAGCACGGCTGATGTAAATAATAACTCATAATGATTTAGTTCTGCTTGTGTATCTTCTGAAAGAGAATCTCTTCTGTCCTGTTCCTCATTCACACTGTTCCTCTGATCTCTCTCCTCATCATTTGCTGGTTTTCTCTTTTTGTAAGACGAGATTTTAAACGTTTTATTAAAATTATTAGTTAAAATAATCTGCCAATGCGGTCAGAAAAATAATGTTAACTCAAACAGAAACAAGATTATTGTTCTGACCCCATTGGCAGATCATTTTGCTTGTTTTAAGCAAAAACTCACTTCATTTTGTTTGATTTCCACAGAAAAACAAGACTTAATATCTTATGGGATTTTACTACTTTAGTAAATGCATCTTGATTTAAGAATTTTTTAATATTTGCACTGGAAATAAGACTAAAATACTAAGTAAGAAAAGCCGATCTTAATTAGTTTCATTAGACAAGTCAGTCATTTAGTTATTTTGAGCTGGAAAACGAGACAAAAAAACGCTTGTGTAAAGCATTATTATTATTAGTTAGTGATATTTGCTCTTGTTTTAAGCACAAACTCACTTAATTTTGATTGATTTCCACAGAAAACAAGACTTAATATCTTATGGGATTTTACTACTTTAGTAAATGCATCTTGATTTAAGAATTTTTTTGATATTTGGACTGGAAACAAGACTAAAATCCTAAGTAAGAAATGCATTTTTGCAGTGTAAGCATAAACTATCTTAATTAGGTTCATAAGACAAGTCAGTCGTTTAGTTTTTTTGAGCTGGAAAACGAGACAGAAACGCTTTTCTTCTTGTGTAAAGCATGTATTATTATTAGTTAGTGATATCTGCTCTTGTTTTAAGCACAAACTCACTTCATTTTGATTGATTTCCACAGAAAACAAGACTTAATATCTTATGGGATTTTACTACTTTAGTAAATGCATCTTGATGATATTTGCACTGGAAACAAGACTAAAATACTAAGTAAGAAAAGCCGATCTTAATTAGTTTCATTAGACAAGTTAGTCATTTAGTTATTTTGAGCTGGAAACTGAGACAGAAACGCTTGTGTAAAGCATGTATTATTATTAGTTAGTGATATTTGCTCTTGTTTAAGCACAAACTCACTTCATTTTCATTGATTTCCACAGAAAACAAGACTTAATATCTTATGGGATTTTACTACTTTAGTAAATGCATCTTGATTTAAGAATTTTTTGATATTTGCACTGGAAACAAGACTAAAATACTAAGTAAGAAAAGCCGATCTTAATTAGTTTCATTAGACAAGTCAGTCATTTAGTTATTTTGAGCTGGAAAACGAGACAGAAACGCTTGTGTAAAGCATGTATTATTATTAGTTAGTGATATTTGCTCTTGTTTTAAGCACAAACTCACTTCATTTTCATAGATTTTTAATGAAATTGTCTCTAGTAAACGCCTCTGGACTAAAGAATGTTTCTATATTTGTGCTGGTTTTCAATCATGCTTTCATGACCGATCTTTCACGGCTGTGTGTGTGAAATGGATCCGTTCCTCTCGGAGTCTCTCCATATAAAGCGCGTCCCCGTCACTCGACTCCCAGAATCCCAGGCGTGTCCCAGGATGGAGGACTTGATCTCTCGGGAGCCCAGGGATCTGGGTAGAGCCGTGTGCATCATCACCGGCGCGTCGAAGGGCTACGGGCGGGCGCTGGCGTTCCAGCTGAGCTGCCGGCTGAAGCCCAGATCCGTCCTGGTTCTGGTGGCCCGAACCAAAGCCCAGCTGAACGAGCTGAAGGACGACATCGTGAGTGTGTGTGGACGGAGCCAGCTGGACGTCCGATGCGTTCAGGCGGATCTGGAGGAGGCGGGAGGAGTGGAGAAAACCGTGCAGGCGGTCAAAGAGACGAGCTCGACGGAAACGGACCACGTGCTTCTGATCAACAACGCAGGTGTGCTAAAGCTCATTTAGAAGCTAATATATCACATGCAAAGTGAGATATTTCAAGCCTTTATTTGATATAATTGTGATGATTATGGCTTACAGATATGAAAACCTTTCCACAATATTCTAAGTCATAATCATCACAATTATAACAAATAAAGGCTTAAATATCTCACTTTGCATGTAATGCATGCATTATTAAAGATCAGATGACTTTAAATGTTAAAGTTACTGGAAGAGCGCTTTGAAAGAGCCGATCGTTCTCTTGTAATGAGTGTGTCTCTTGTTCTCAGCGTCTCTGGGCGACGTGTCTCGCTTCGCTGTGTCGTTCACGGACCCCGCGGAGGTGAACCGCTACCTGTCGCTGAACGTTAGCGGCGCGCTCAGTCTGACGGCCGGCGTCCTGCAGGCGTTCCCTCATCGTCTGGGTCTGAGGAGAACCGTGGTGAACATCAGCTCTCTGTGTGCGCTGAAGCCCTTCCCCTCGTGGGTCCTGTACTGCACCGGGAAAGCGGCGCGAGACATGATGTTCCGGGTGTTAGCCGAAGAGGAGCCGGACGTACGGGTGCTGAGTTACGCTCCCGGTGAGTGTACCTTAAAGCAGACGTGCAGTTACATTGATTCTGTTTGTTGCAGCAGGGTTTAAAAAAATAAATGAGTAAAACAATAAAAAATTTGATGTTTTATTCTAAAAAATGTTTATAAAACACTTTGGTTTTATTTAATTTTTGTTTAGAAAGGTTTTGCATGGTTTAGGAAAGGTATTGCATGTTTTAGGAAAGGTTTTGCATGGTTTAGGAAAGGTATTGCATGTTTTAGGAAAGGTCTTGCATGGTTTATGAAAGGTGTTGCATGTTTTAGGAAAGGTTTTGCAAGTTTTAGGAAAGGTTTTGCATGTTTTAGGAAAGGTATTGCATGTTTTAGGAAAGGTCTTGCATGGTTTATGAAAGGTGTTGCATGTTTTAGGAAAGGTTTTGCAAGTTTTAGGAAAGGTTTTGCATGTTTTAGGAAAGGTATTGCATGTTTTATGAAAGGTGTTGCATGTTTTAGGAAAGGTTTTGCAAGTTTTAGGAAAGGTATTGCATGTTTTAGGAAAGGTCTTGCATGGTTTATGAAAGGTGTTGCATGTTTTAGGAAAGGTTTTGCAAGTTTTAGGAAAGGTATTGCATGTTTTAGGAAAGGTTTTGCATGTTTTAGGAAAGGTTTTGTATGTTTTAGGAAAGGGTTTGCAAGTTTTAGGAAAGGTTTTGCATGTTTTAGGAAAGGTTTTGTATGTTTTAGGAAAGGTTTTGTATGTTTTAGGAAAGGGTTTGCAAGTTTTAGGAAAGGTTTTGCATGGTTTAGGAAAGGTTTTGCATGTTTTAGGAAAGGTATTGCATGTTTTAGGAAAGGTTTTGCATGTTTTAGGAAAGGTTTTGTATGTTTTAGGAAAGGGTTTGCAAGTTTTAGGAAAGGTATTGCATGTTTTAGGAAAGGTTTTGCATGGTTTAGGAAAGGTCTTACATGTTTTAGGAAAGGTATTGCATGTTTTAGGAAAGGTTTTGCATGTTTTAGGAAAGGTATTGCATGTTTTAGGAAAGGTTTTGCATGTTTTAGGAAAGGTTTTGCATGGTTTAGGAAAGGTTTTGCATGTTTTAGGAAAGGTATTGCACGTTTTAGGAAAGGTTTTGCATGGTTTAGGAAAGGTCTTACATGTTTTAGGAAAGGTTTTGCAAGTTTTAGGAAAGGTTTTGCATGGTTTAGGAAAGGTTTTGCATGTTTTAGGAAAGGTATTGCATGTTTTAGGAAAGGTTTTGCATGTTTTAGGAAAGGTTTTGCATGGTTTAGGAAAGGTTTTGCATGTTTTAGGAAAGGGTTTGCAAGTTTTAGGAAAGGTTTTGCATGTTTTAGGAAAGGTATTGCATGTTTTAGGAAAGGTATTGCACGTTTTAGGAAAGGTTTTGCATGGTTTAGGAAAGGTCTTACATGTTTTAGGAAAGGTTTTGCATGTTTTAGGAAAGGTATTGCATGTTTTAGGAAAGGTTTTGCATGTTTTAGGAAAGGTATTGCATGTTTTAGGAAAGGTTTTGCATGTTTTAGGAAAGGTTTTGCATGTTTTAGGAAAGGTTTTGCATGGTTTAGGAAAGGTTTTGCATGTTTTAGGAAAGGTATTGCATGGTTTAGGAAAGGTTTTGCATGTTTTAGGAAAGGTATTGCACGTTTTAGGAAAGGTTTTGCAAGTTTTAGGAAAGGTCTTTCATGGTTTAGGAAAGGTATTGCATGTTTTAGGAAAGGTTTTGCATGTTTTAGGAAAGGTTTTGCAAGTTTTAGGAAAGGTTTTGCATGTTTTAGGAAAGGTATTTCATGTTTTAGGAAAGGTCTAACAAGTTTTAGGAAAGGTCTTGCATGGTTTAGGAAAGGTATTGCATGTTTTAGGAAAGGTCTTGCATGGTTTAGGAAAGGTATTGCATGTTTTAGGAATGGTTTTGCATGGTTTAGGAAAGGTTTTGCATGTTTTAGGAAAGGTATTGCATGTTTTAGGAAAGGTATTGCATGTTTTAGGAAAGGTTTTGCATGTTTTAGGAAAGGTATTGCATGTTTTAGGAAAGGTATTGCATGTTTTAGGAAAGGTTTTGCAAGTTTTAGGAAAGGTCTAACATGTTTTAGGAAAGGTATTGCATGTTTTAGGAAAGGTATTGCACGTTTTAGGAAAGGTCTTGCACGTTTTAGGAAAGGTTTTGCATGTTTTAGGAAAGGTTTTGCAAGTTTTAGGAAAGGTTTTGCATGTTTTAGGAAAGGTATTGCATGTTTTAGGAAAGGTATTGCATGTTTTAGGAAAGGTCTTGCATGGTTTAGGAAAGGTATTGCATGTTTTAGGAAAGGTCTTTCATGGTTTAGGAAAGGTATTGCATGTTTTAGGAAAGGTTTTGCATGTTTTAGGAAAGGTTTTGCATGTTTTAGGAAAGGTCTTACATGTTTTAGGAAAGGTTTAGCAAGTTTTAGGAAAGGTTTGCAAGTTTTAGGAAAGGTTTTGCATGGTTTAGGAAAGGTCTTACATGTTTTAGGAAAGGTTTTGCATGTTTTAGGAAAGGTTTTGCATGGTTTAGGAAAGGTATTGCACGTTTTAGGAAAGGTTTTGCAAGTTTTAGGAAAGGTCTTTCATGGTTTAGGAAAGGTATTGCATGTTTTAGGAAAGGTTTTGCAAGTTTTAGGAAAGGTTTTGCATGTTTTAGGAAAGGTATTTCATGTTTTAGGAAAGGTCTAACAAGTTTTAGGAAAGGTCTTGCATGGTTTAGGAAAGGTATTGCATGTTTTAGGAAAGGTTTTGCATGTTTTAGGAAAGGTATTGCATGTTTTAGGAAAGGTATTGCATGTTTTAGGAAAGGTTTTACATGTTTTAGGAAAGGTATTGCATGTTTTAGGAAAGGTATTGCACGTTTTAGGAAAGGTCTTGCACGTTTTAGGAAAGGTTTTGCATGTTTTAGGAAAGGTTTTGCAAGTTTTAGGAAAGGTTTTGCATGTTTTAGGAAAGGTATTGCATGTTTTAGGAAAGGTTTTGCATTTTTTAGGAAAGGTCTTGCATGGTTTAGGAAAGGTATTGCATGTTTTAGGAAAGGTTTTGCATGTTTTAGGAAAGGTTTTGCAAGTTTTAGGAAAGGTTTTGCATGTTTTAGGAAAGGTATTGCATGTTTTAGGAAAGGTTTTGCATGGTTTAGGAAAGGTATTGCATGTTTTAGGAAAGGTATTGCACATTTTAGGAAAGGTTTTGCAAGTTTTAGGAAAGGTTTTGCATGTTTTAGGAAAGGTATTGCATGTTTTAGGAAAGGTTTTGCATGGTTTAGGAAAGGTCTTGCATGTTTTAGGAAAGGTTTTGCATGTTTTAGGAAAGGTCTTGCATGTTTTAGGAAAGGTTTTGCATGGTTTAGGAAAGGTCTTGCATGTTTTAGGAAAGGTTTTGCACGTTTTAGGAAAGGTTTTGCATGGTTTAGGAAAGGTTTTGCATGTTTTAGGGAAAGTTTTGCATTTTTTAGGAAAGGTATTGCATGTTTTAGGAAAGGTATTGCATGTTTTAGGAAAGGTATTGCATGTTTTAGGAAAGGTCTAACATGTTTTAGGAAAGGTATTGCATGTTTTAGGAAAGGTATTGCATGTTTTAGGAAAGGTTTTGCAAGTTTTAGGAAAGGTCTAACATGTTTTAGGAAAGGTATTGCACGTTTTAGGAAAGGTCTTGCACGTTTTAGGAAAGGTTTCGCATGTTTTAGGAAAGGTTTTGCATGTTTTAGGAAAGGTTTTGCATGTTTTAGGAAAGGTTTTGCAAGTTTTAGGAAAGGTTTTGCATGGTTTAGGAAAGGTCTTGCATGTTTTAGGAAAGGTATTGCATGTTTTAGGAAAGGTTTTGCAAGTTTTAGGAAAGGTCTTACATGTTTTAGGAAAGGTATTGCACGTTTTAGGAAAGGTCTTGCACATTTTTGGAAAGGTTTTGCATGTTTTAGGAAAGGTTTTGCAAGATTTAGGAAAGGTTTTGCATGGTTTAGGAAAGGTTTTGCATGTTTTAGGAAAGGTTTTGCAAGTTTTAGGAAAGGTTTTGCATGTTTTAGGAAAGGTTTTTGCAAGTTTTAGGAAAGGTTTTGCATGGTTTAGGAAAGGTTTTGCATGTTTTAGGAAAGGTTTTGCATGTTTTAGGAAAGGTTTTGCAAGTTTTAGGAAAGGTTTTGCATGGTTTAGGAAAGGTCTTGCATGTTTTAGGAAAGGTATTGCATGTTTTAGGAAAGGTTTTGCAAGTTTTAGGAAAGGTCTTACATGTTTTAGGAAAGGTTTTGCATGTTTTAGGAAAGGTTTTGCAAGTTTTAGGAAAGGTTTTGCATGGTTTAGGAAAGGTCTTGCATGTTTTAGGAAAGGTCTTGCATGTTTTAGGAAAGGTATTGCATGTTTTAGGAAAGGTTTTGCATGTTTTAGGAAAGGTTTTGCATGTTTTAGGAAAGGTTTTGCATGTTTTAGGAAAGGTTTTGCAAGTTTTAGGAAAGGTTTTGCATGGTTTAGGAAAGGTCTTGCATGTTTTAGGAAAGGTATTGCATGTTTTAGGAAAGGTTTTGCAAGTTTTAGGAAAGGTCTTACATGTTTTAGGAAAGGTATTGCACGTTTTAGGAAAGGTCTTGCACATTTTAGGAAAGGTTTTGCATGTTTTAGGAAAGGTTTTGCAAGATTTAGGAAAGGTTTTGCATGGTTTAGGAAAGGTTTTGCATGGTTTAGGAAAGGTTTTGCATGGTTTAGGAAAGGTCTTACATGTTTTAGGAAAGGTATTGCACGTTTTAGGAAAGGTCTTGCACATTTTAGGAAAGGTTTTGCATGTTTTAGGAAAGGTTTTGCAAGATTTAGGAAAGGTTTTGCATGGTTTAGGAAAGGTTTTGCATGTTTTAGGAAAGGTTTTGCATGTTTTAGGAAAGGTATTGCATGTTTTAGGAAAGGTTTTGCATGGTTTAGGAAAGGTTTTGCAAGATTTAGGAAAGGTCTTGCATGTTTTAGGAAAGGTTTTGCATGTTTTAGGAAAGGTATTGCATGTTTTAGGAAAGGTTTTGCATGTTTTAGGAAAGGTTTTGCAAGTTTTAGGAAAGGTTTTGCAAGTTTTAGGAAAGGTTTCGCATGTTTTAGGAAAGGTATTGCACGTTTTAGGAAAGGTTTTGCATGGTTTAGGAAAGGTTTTGCATGTTTTAGGAAAGGTATTTCACGTTTTAGGAAAGGTTTTGCATGGTTTAGGAAAGGTCTTGCATGTTTTAGGGAAAGTTTTGCATTTTTTAGGGAAGGTCTAACATGTTTTAGGGAAGGTTTTGCATGTTCACTGATGGTGTGCTGGACTCACTGTGACCCACAGGTCCTCTGGACACAGACATGCAGCTTCAAGCCCGTCGTTTCTCTGGAGACCTGAACCTGCGTCGCTCGTTCTCCTCGATGTTCTCCGAACACCAGCTTCTGACCTGCGAGGAGTCCGGGTCCAAACTCGTCAAACTCCTGCTGGACAACGACTTCCCGTCCGGAGCGCATCTCGACTTCTACGAGCTTTAGGAGCAGATTCACACTTACAGCTCGTGTACATACAAACATGTGCTTCTTCCTAGGGTTTCCAGCACAAATAAACATTCTTACATTAAGATGCATTTACTGGAGAAGGAGCAAAATGACTGAAGATATTAAGACTGGAAAATGAATCAAAATGAAGTGAGTTTGTGTCCTAAATAATTTAGTTCAATTCAGATCACATTTACCGAAGAAGCAAAATGACTGAAAAAATAATCAAAACCATCAGTGACTACATTGTCAGATATTTAGATATTTGTTTAGATATTTGTGCTGTTTTTATTTTTAATTATTTATTTATTTTAATTTTACATTTTTATGATGACATTTTTTAGTGTTTTATTTTACTTTTTTTAAATTTACATTTTCAAGTTTTCAGTTTGTTAACTTTGATTAAAATTTTTATGATTTAAGTTTCAGTGTTTTATTAATAACATTTTTATTATAATTGCACACGTTACAATTTTATTTTCAGGGCTTTATTTCAAAAGTTTTTATTTTTTAATTATTGGTTTATTTTAATTTTACATTTTGATTTTAAATAATTTTTGTTTTCCAGCACAAATATCTAAACATTCTTGAATCAAGATACATTTACCAGAGAACCAAAATGACTGAAGATATTAAGACTGAAAAATGTATCAAAATCAGTGACTTCATTGGCAAATATTTCATTGATTAAATATTTGTGCTGGAAAACAAGACAGAAACACAGAGGAAGAACATCATGTTATACCATGTTGTTGATCTGTGTTTTTTTATTCATTTTAAGTCTACATTAAAAAAAAATCTGTAAAATTGTTTAGACATATGCACATTTTTTTATACAGAATAAATAAATGTTCCTGGTGTTTTCCATCTGCTGTGTGGAGTTCGTCATTAATGCAGCTGAGGACCTCTAGTGGTGATCGACGGAAATACAGAGGAAAACAAAGAATATTCAGAGAATATTTACACTTATTTTCTCCACTATATCTTTGCTGTTTTTTCCGTAATAAATTAATGATAGGGTGCAATAGTCATATTCGTTGTTATTTTCCTCTAATCCACTAGATGGCGTAAAAACTCAACGCAACACTTTTCTTAATGAGACAGTTCACCCAAAAATTTAAATCATCATTTACCCCCTCTTAAGTTGTTTCTGGTGAACACAAAAGAAGATATTTTGAAAAATGTTGGTAACTAAACAGTTGATGGACCCCATAGACTTCCAAAGTATTTTTTTTTTCCCTACTGGAAGTCAATGGGGTTCATCAAAAGTGATACTGATTTTAAACAACAGATCAATAAAGAAGATTTAATATTGTGTTAATTTATATTTAGACACAATATTGAACCTAAAAAGCAATAGCAGAACTGCTGTGCGTCTCCGAAAATTTCTTGAATGAATCCGCGGTTTGAACGAATCAATCCGGTCGAACAATGATTCAATGACTCGTTCATTTAGAGAGCGCACTGAATGAATCAGTCGTTTGAACGAATCTAATGAATAGATGACTCACTCATCCAGATATTTATCGCCACCTACTGGCAGTTTAAGTTATAATTTCATTTAAAACCTTACATATTTCCAAATGAATAAAAACCCTTTAAAAATACAGTCCACCCAAAAGTAAGTAAAAGTTTCTGTGTAATAAATTCTATGATGAATCAAATAAAATAAAAAATAAAAATCTACTTGTTGTTGATGCTTTTCGAATTTAAGACAATAATTTAACTTGTGTTTTGGGAGTAATTTTTTTTAAGCCAAATCTAATCTATTAATTGATTTTAATTATTTAACAGCCCTAGTTTTCCCCCCAAAAGAAATTAAATCAAGTTTTTCAATAACTGAAGAATATGTAAAAGTATTGTATTTGAGGAAAAATTATAAAATAATAAATATCTGGCTGAGTTTGTTTTATTTATTGACAAGACAGGGTTAGATTCAAATGATCGATGTCATTAATTAATTCAGATTTAGTCAGAGTTCATTTAAATAATCACCGTATTAATAATGAAACCATTAAATAATAATTTATTCAAATGCAATTTATTTTGTTAAGTGTGAAGTCTTAATAAAATATTATGGGAAGTGTTTATTGTGCAGGCAAGCAGAATAATATGTTTTAGGGTTTTTTTTCAGAATTTTTTAATGATATTGTTTTGTTTTTTTAATTAATTATCAGACTCTATTTGAACAGTGAAAGGCAGATTACATAGATTTCAGAAACATCTGATCTGACATCAACACTTACAGGCTTTCTTCCTGTCACATGACACACATGATGGAGCCGGTTGCCATGGTAACAGCAGCGAGCTGATGTCATCGGTGAATTTGTGAATGGAGACCAAGTGTGTGAAGTAACCTGCAGCTCTCCTGGAGGAGAAAAGACATGAACACGTGTGTTTTATAGAGGACAGATGCATGAGATTCGCTTCTCAGTGTTTCTGAGTGACTGCAGGACTGACCAAGAAATTTTTTTTGTCATTTTTTACGTACAGGTGAAACTCGAAAAATTATAAAATGGTGCAAAAGTTCATTTATTTCAGTAATTCAACTTAATAGGTGAAACTAATATATTATATAGACTCATTACATGCAAAGTGAGATATTTAAAGTCTTTATTTGTTATAATTTTAAAGATTATGACTTACAGATATGAAAACCTTTTCACAATATTCTAATTTTTCGAGTTTCACCATATGTTTTAAAATCCTACATGGAAACACTTTAAATGAACACACAAACATAACATGAAAACAACAGTAAAAATGTTAAATATACACTGGGTTCTTTCAACACAAATTTAAAGGTTACATTTTTATCAATTACAAATATGGTTATGGTTTGTCCATATTTTATCTATCAATGTAAGTGAGTGAGAGATTTCCAAAGCCTGAGGAACATTAACATTAACACAGATCTGCCAAACAAACACTGGACTTGTTTCACTCAGTCTTGTGTGTTTATTATTAGTGGTGGGGATTTTACAGTCTGCCAGTAGGTGGCGACAAACGACTCTCTCTGTGAGCGACTCAACTGAGTCAATTCGAATCGTTCAAAAACAATGATTCATGAACGCTGAACACTGTCTGTGATTACAGATATTTTGGAGAATTTCTATAACATTCTGGTCAAAGAGTCAACAAAGGGTAACTTACTGCGTTCTCGTAGACTTCTTTGATGTTACATCAACCATACGTTGGTCCATATTAAATATGTTTGAGGAAAAACGTGAATTTAAAATAAATGTGCTTGCTGAGGAAATTTTTCACATCGTTTTATGGGCTCTCTCAGAAGTGCGCATGCGCACGTCGCTGCCTGACTGACTTGATGCTTGATACCCACCATAGATATCTATATAAAGGCTAGATGTCTTAAGGCGGAGTTTCTATCGTCATCACCGGCGGCCACACAAATACTCTTATCTCGTTGAAATCTTGACGGATTTACAAACGGTTTGGTTTCTTACAAACGTCATTAACGTGGCTATAATTATATGGATGATTATTTATTTATACACTTATTATGCATAAGTCTGCTGTGTCATAACTACATCTCTGACGTTTATAAAAAAACAACCCGTTTGAAAATCAGTATAAAATTGAGCAAGTTATGGTTATTTAAAAAGTTAATGTACCATTAACACAATGTTACGAGTGAGCGAGCTGCCTGTGACAAGATGGCCGCCAGGTGCAGACGTCGACCTCCATTGGCCAGCAGCGTGGACGAGATATCTAGCCTTTATATACATATCTATGCTTGATACCATATACTACGCACATGCGCAGTGCCGTCTGCGTTTCAGGGGGCGTGGCTGACGCGTGAGAGAGGGGCGTGGCTGAGGTGGGTGTGTGGCTCAGCTGATATACACGCATCTGACTATCATCATCATCATCATCTGAGACCAGTTCCTGTAGAGATAAACACCGCTCGGTGGTTTAATGGACTCGCTGTGGACGCGTCGGTGAATGAGCGCGACCGATGTGACGCGCGTCGCTGTCCGCGGTGCTGAAACAGTGAGTACGCGCACGCATTATAAGCAGCGTTATTATAAGACCTCCATTCTCTCGCGCACATACAGCCAGCGCGAGCACGCATTATGTAATGCATTGAAGGAACGTCTTGCTGCGTCTTTGTGTGCAGAAGCTGGAGATTGTTAGGCAGAAAATGGAGTGTGTGTGTGTGTGTGTAGAGCAGGGCTTTATTAAGATGCATGCTTTTAGACGGAGCTGCAGGTCTCTACTCAGACACAACGCACAGCACATGAAAGGCGATGCGATCTTTTGTGTTGAGAAACACACTGACCGCTCCGGTCAGACCTGCAGGTTGAGGCCTTAAGGAGCCAATAAAAGTTTGCTCATGCATTCTGATTCACGTTACACACAAAGCCACACATAAGTCACCTCGTGGCCCATTACAAGCCAATGTGTGTGTGAGATGTGCAAGTGAGAGAACAGATGAGGTAATGGTGAAGCGCTGGAGTGTGAAGCCCCTGCTGGTCGGACGTGGTGCTGCAACTCACTCACAGTCTCGAATGAGTGTTTATTAAACAGCGTACACACATTTTCAAAACTTTACACAAGAATTGCACGCAAAATGACTGAATAAAGCACTTCAAAATATTACGTTGCAAACACCTTTGCCATAATGTTATATTTTTGGATATATATAGGTACAGTTATTCAAAACCTAAAGCTCTCATTTCACGTACATTTCTGTACAAGAATGTACTAGTTGGTTAAATTGAAAATTTAACGGGAATTAAACATGAAAGCGAGATTGAAGCCAAACTATTGTTTTACTGTAAGCGTTTGTGACTGCGAGTCAGTATTACAGTCCGAAAAACCCATAACTCGACTTTTGACCTTTTATAGGCCTATTCTAAAGCTGAGGAGTGTGTGTGAGAGGCTTTGATGTGTGTTGTGGTTTACAAAAAGTTTCTGAAATTGAAAACCGAGTCGAAGGCTGAGAATTAGTGTACGGTTTTGCAGATTTGGTGTGTGTTTCAGGTGTCAGGTTTTAGAAAGAGGATTTTGTGTGTAAGTAGTTGGAAAACACTGTAATGAGTCAAACACAAGTCTGGATCTTCATTGCATCAGTCTGTATGGTCACTATAGGTTAAATTGTGATGATTATTATTAATATTATTATTATAAGTGCATTTGTTTATGGTTGGAGATCAGCAAAAACTCATAAAGACATGTTGCTTGAGGAGCATTCTTAAGAAATGTATTTTGGGAATACAAAATATTCTTAATTATTATTCTTAAGGATGCTTTGTGGATCTTTGTGATTAACTCTTATCATGCTACTGTCATGCAAAGGTTTTCTGTCCATGACAAAGTCATAAATACAGTAAAAACAGTGAAATATTATTCTAATGTAATTATTTCTATGTGAATATATAGTAAAGTGTAATTTATTCCTGTGATTTTCAGCATCATTACTCCAGTCTTCAGTGTCACATGATCCTTCAGAAATCACTCTAATATGAGGATCTGATGATCAACAAACATTTATGATTATATTTTCAAGAATTATGAAAATACTTTCAAGATTTCAAGATAACTTATTATTTTGAGTTTCTGATGATTGAATTAACCTCCTTCATTGTCTTAACTAATTTTTTCCAGTTCAATCAACTTAAAATTTTAAGGCAACCCAGGTTACTTACTTTTTTAAGTTAAACCAACAATATTTTTTACAACATTTTTTCTTCTGTCAAATCAACTTTATAATAATTTATTTAGTTGAGATAACTTATTATTTTGAGTTTCTGATGATTGAATTAATCTCCTTCATTGTCTTAACTAATTTTTTCCAGTTCAATCAACTTAAAATTTTAAGGCAACCCAGGTTACTTACTTTTTTAAGTTAAACCAACAATATTTTTTACAACATTTTTTCTTCTGTCAAATCAACTTTATAATAATTTATTTAGTTGAGATAACTTATTATTTTGAGTTTCTGATGGTTAAATTAATCTCCTTCATTGTCTTAACTAATTTTTTCCAGTTCAATCAACTTAAAATTTTAAGGCAACCAGGTTACTTACTTTTTTAAGTTAAACCAACAATATTTTTTACAGTGTATCAGTGTTCCTATTTTTGAGAAAACCGTGATGCAATTTTTTTTTCAGGATTGTTTGATGAATAGAACGTTCAAAAGAGCAGCGTTTATTTGAAATAGAATCTTTTGTAACATTTTAAATGTATTTACTGTCACTTTTGAGCAATTTAATGCATCTTTGATGAATAATACAATTTTTTTTCTTCAATGTTTAATGTGCGTTCTTCCACCTCAGTGTCTGTCAGGAGGTCCGGCATCGGTATCGGCCCATGTGGAGGTTGAGTGACGGCCCGGTTCGCCCAGGATGGGTAGTGTCGGCAGTGGGGTGGCGGGCGAGCAGGAGTTCGCCATGAAGAGCGTGGGCACGCGCACCACCCTCCCTCGAGGCCCGGCTCTGACCCGGCGAGATCACGTCAGATCCAGCGCCGAGCGGCTCCTCCCGCCTCCATCCGATCGTCTCCACCAGCCTCCGTCATCCGAGGGCTCCAGTGACGAGTTCACAGCCGATCGAGGACTGGGAAACGTCACCTCGTCCCGGCTGGAGAGGGGTCCGGGGAACGGGAGCGGGCCGGAGGGGAACGGGAAACACCGGAGTGGAACCGGAGGAGGAGTGACTCTGGATGCGTGTGGGAACGTGGTGGGTCACGGCGCGGAGAAGAGCCATGATGGAGTCGCTCCGGGGAAGAACAGAGACGGAAACAACGGCAAGAGGGACAGTCGAACGCCACCGAAGATTCTCGCGGTCACGGGGAAACTTGAGCAGGTACGACTTGAGCATGGAACGGATAGTTCACCCAAAAATTTAAAGAGCCCCTATCATAGCATTTGAAATGTTCCTATTCTTGAACAGTTTAACGTGCATGCAAGGATAAAAAACACTTTATTTTTCTTATAATATGCATTTATTTTTACCCGATTTGCTCAACGACTCCCAAATGATTCGTTCGACGATTCATTTTCCCAAACACCTCCTTTGAGTGACGCGAATCTGCGGCGATTGGTCACATGACCCAGTCAGTTGTTATTGGTAAACCGTAGGCAGAGACTGTCGGCAACGAATCGCCCATAGAGAACCTAAGCCCCGCCCCTTCCGGTCGACCACCATGGGACCTTATTTCGGAAAAATATTGAATGGTAGTCAATGGCGAGAGACAGCAAATATTTTGATCTGGTTTGAATTGTGCCCTGAATTACACATATGATGTTTGTCAATTTAAAAGATACATTTTAAAGTAAAGAAAGTCGCAGTTTGATGTGAAACCGTTGACTGTGAAAATACCTAATTACAAAGACTACAAATCCCAAAGGCGCATATTTTCTCCCAATGAATGAAGCTAACTTTACTGAGGCTAACGTCTGTCATTGTTTCTATAGTCTTACGTTATAATCGTGTTTATAAACGAGTGTTTTGTACCAGACTGCACACACACGAGCAGCGGATCTCGTTTCTCTTCCCGATGTAGTTCATAGAGCGATTTTCACATAAAACTAAATGTTATTCTTCTGTTGAATGACAAACGCCGACGTTTTTGACTTTCAGAATTATCTTTTAAATTGACAAGCATCATATGTGTAATTGAGGGCGCAGTTCAGACGGAATAAAAAGATAAGTTGTCTCTCGCCATTGACTACCATTCATATTTTTTCCGAAATAAGGTCCCATGAGCCGGAAAGCAGAGGGGCGGGACTTAGGCTCTCTATAAGCAGGATTATAGCTCGTCAAGGGTTGAAAATTGTATATAGTGTTTGAACAAACGTGTCAGAAAAAGTGCACTTTCCACACGGTCCCTTACTCGCGTCTCCATCAAGAGCGAGATTTCCCAGCAAAACTCACATTTGAGGGGCAGTGCTTATTATATAGAGCGAAGTCATATTTGGCTAAGCCGTTTAGGACGTAATTGCCATTTTTCAGTGAATGTCTGGTGAATATCAAAAACAAAACTAACTTTACCCCGCTTAGAAGCTGCGCGGAGTGTACACAACACACACAACACAATATAACTATAGTGTGCATGCTACAGAAAATATCACAGCAAACATTATTAATATTACTTACAGGTTGTGATTCGGAGGACGAACTTGATCCATATACACTGGATACTGAGCCCTCCTTCGGGAACAACCGGCTTGCGAATGATTCGTCATTAAAATGATGAGAACACAAGGTTCGGGCTATACCGTTGCAAATATGAACTCTGACCACTGATTCTTCACAT